GTTCCTTCGGGGCCCCTTGGGGGCCCCTTTGGGGCCCCTTTGAGGCCCTTTTTGGAGCTTCCTCTGTACCCTTTTAGGGCCCCTTTGGGGCCCCTGTGGGTCCCCTTTGGGGCCCCTGTGGGACCCCTTTGGGGCTCCTTCAGGGCCCCTCTGGCACTTCCTGGGGGCCCCTTTGGGGCCCCTTTAGGCCCCCCTTTGTGACCCTTTAAGCCCCCTCTGGGTCCCCCTTTTGCGCCCCTTTATACCCCCTCACGCTTTGGGGCCCCCCTGTGTCCCTTAATGCCCCCCTGGCTTCCCCGTCTGAGTCCCCTCCGGGTCCCCTCTGGGTTCCCTCTGGGGCCCCTCTGGGGCCCCTCTGGGTCCCCTCTGGAGCCCCTCTGGGGCCCCTCTGGGGCCCCTCTGGGGCCCCTGCGAACCCCCGTGTGTGCCCCTTCTGCCCCGAGCACCCCTGTGGAGCCCCCCTGGGGCCCCTCGAGGCCGCGTTTGGGGCCCCGTGGGGCCCCCCGGGGCCCCTGGGGGCCGCGTTTGGGGGCCCCGGGGGCCCCTGGGGCCCCGTTGCGCGCAGCTTGGGGCCCCCGGAGGCGGACCTGCCTGCGACGGAGACGGAGCCGGAGTCGGGGTCGTAGAGGCGCTGCAGCAGCTGCAGCAAAGTGGACTTGCCGGCGCCGGAGGGCCCCACGAGGCCCACAGCGCGGCCGCGGGGAATGGTGAGGGAGAAGTCCTTGAAGACGGGGGCCCCCCTGCGCGTGGGGTAGGCGAAGGAGACCCTGCGGAAGCAAATGTCTCCGTCGAGAGACACGAGTTTGTCTCCTTTGTCTTCGAAAGGATTTATTTCCGAAACTTCTTTTCCAACTTCTCCCAAACTCTTCGCTGCTGCGCCCGCCTTCAGGAACAACCCCACACTTTCCAACACATTCCCCAAGCTGAACGCAGCCATCAGCAGACACACAGATATCACGAACGCCGCGCCCCCCTGAAACTCTGGCCGCAGCAGGGGGGCCCCCCCGGGGGCCCCCCAGGGGGCCCCCCCGGGGGCCCCCCCGGGGGCCCCCCAGGGCGCATTGGGGGCCCCCGGGGGCAAGGGGGGGTCGAGCTGCTGCAGCTGCTGTAGGTGCTGCTGCTGCTGCAGCAGCTGCTCCCAGCCGGCAGCAACTTTTCTTCCGCTGAGGTAAAAGACGAGGGCAAACATGGCGAAGACCGAAGAAATAAGTCCAGCCATTCCTAGTCCAGAAAAGAGGCCCCCGCGAGCAGCAGCAGCTTCTGCTGCTGCTATGTGCTGCTCGTAGCGGGCCCTGGAGGCCCCCTCCTGGCCGAAGGCAGCAACGGTGCGGGGGGCCCCCAGGGTCTCTGCAGCAACGGCACCCGCAGCTTCGAGAGCAGCAGCAGCAGCAGCAGCAGCGCGGCGCAGGGCCCCCGCGAGAAGCGCCCCGAAAGCCACAGCTGGCAGCAAACCTGCTGCAGCACACAGAGTCACTTGCCAAGATGTTGCAAGTGCAACAGCAAGAGACCCCACAACCAGCAGCAAGTTGTACGGGATCGCCACAAACTTCATGCCGATCCCCTCGCGCAAGTCTGCCAAACTGCTGTCGAGTTTTGCTGCCAAAGAGCCCGCGTCTTGGCGGGCGAACCAGCCGAGT